TGTTCTTCTTCTTCTTCTTCTTCTTCTTCTTCTTCTTGTTTTGTTCTCCTCCTCCTCCTCCGCCTCCTTCTTCTTCTCCTCCTCATCACCATCGTTGTAGTAACCACACACACAAAAAATAAATAAGAGTAATCTTTTCAGGTTTGCTATGCGAGTCATCGTTTTTCAACGACATAAATAATTTAGAAGCCTTCAAGAGGTAATTTCAAACAATCATGTTTACAACTGATGTTTTAATGGCCCAATACACCCCTTGCATTTATATCCCAGAGGAATTGTGTTCTAGGGGACAAAGCAATAGGCCATCTTTTCTTATGCAAATTTGCAAATTTTAACGCAAGTTTTTTTCGAAGAAGCTTTATAAAAAGTAGTCCCGTGCAAAATTTGAGGATTTTGCTATCTTGAAGTTCAAAACGTGTATGGTTCTTCAATAAAATCTTGTAGATTATTCAGTTGTTTTTGGGCGCGCGCTCATCGTGGGCTCAAATCGAACGCTCAAAAGTAGACAGTCACCTTACGTGCATTGAGCTCTTCATTATATTCATTCAAAACATTCAAAACATCTTTGAAAGAAGCGATTCATCTTTAACTACCTACATTTACTCAAAATACACTGTTGTGACAAAAAACGTTTGGGCTCCCTTTGCTTTGGGCATAATATTTCCGYATTTCAATCTATACGTCATCCCCTTGAGTGTTATTACTTTCCACTTTACATTCATTTCCTTTGCTAGACACGGAATAGAATGTTTATCTTCATCGACCAAGGACTCTCTCCACGCTCCGTCAAGTTCATCTGTCGACAAGTCTTGTTTGCTTCAGAAGACTTCGTTGATCTACAGCTGCTCAGGAAGCTCACCGATTTATTCTCGTCTGTGTCCTTGCCGCGACTTCAAACCTCAACAAGTTGCACTTTGTAAAAAGTGCACGTAAATATTGCCTTGGAATACAAATCAAAATCCTCAGTATTATCAAAGTGCGGCAATCATACAATACTTTCAGTATACTCCCTTTTCGAGCTCGCCCTTGCTCAGTCTTAGCCTCGATTGTGTACAAATGTGTTCTTTTCTTTTATTAAGGTCCATTGTATAGAAAGGAATGTACGTACTAGGGAACAATACGAGTTGATTAAAATGCCACGGGTTTTGGTTGGATGGTTGAATATTATTACGCACAATCTAGACTAAGGCTGAGCAAAGAGAACTCGAAACTGGAGTATTGACTTTGACCTGAAGTGAGCATTTGAATGACGAATTATTTCTTCATTTGAGTGTGGCGTCTTTAATTTACGAACTACCAAACTAGCAATATATTATTTTATCATTCAAATTATGTTTTGTCATTTGCGATTGGCCGAGATAACTACAAATAACTACCTGCGAATAATATTTTGCTCATGCGCATTATGATGCAAAACCGTTTGGCTGCAAATAATATTCTGCTCATGCGCAGTAACGATGCATTTGTTAACATGGCTCGCTTCCTTATGACGTGCCTTTGTATGTTTGATAGACAGCAAGACCTGCCGAAAGCGCTAGAAGAAAACGGAAAATGTGATTTGAAGGATAAAACAATCATTGAACTCAGTTATCACAAAATGTCGTGACTTTTTAGTGTCTCGCAAGCAATTATTTGCCTCTGCCTTCAGCATCGGTGAACAATTGCTTTCTCGCCAGTAACAAATCACGATATTTTGCTCAACCTCGTTCTATAATTGTCATCACTTCAACTGAGTCTAGAATCAAAACTGAAAGTTATATATCTGGGTCCGGTTGTACGAAGCCTGGATAGCGCTATCCAATGGATAAATCTTCAGCATCGACTTGATAAGGATAAGGATTTATCCGCTGGATGGCGCTGTCCAGGCTTCGTGCAAATGACGTATTTCGCTTAAATGAACATTAGACGTCCTTTATTTTATTACTTGAACCTGGATCTTGATTCTTATATRAATACATACGAAAATAGATCTTATTACCTGCGTGCATGCTCAATGCTAGATATCATCCCACATTTAACATTTATATTTCAATTCCTAGTATAGAAAAAGTTTCAATTTACAATAACTCGTTCATACGCTTCGCGTATCCACTATTTAAAAACGATCTTCATCCGCGAATTTAGATATCAAAATCGATTGTATTGTCGGGGAATTTTGTACGAACGGTTCTTCTAGTACTGCAGCAGTAGAAGCTGCCTGTACTTACAAGTAATTCTGCCCTACAAGAAAGTCATAGACAAAAGAGAAAAGGGTTAGTCAAGGGATGTGTAAGTTGAATTTCCTGTTATGTCGGCGAGACTACCCGGCATCTCTCTACGCGTGTACATGACCACCTACACGGATAACACCTTTAAAGCTATTCGAAATGTCGTGACTTGTGTTCGAATGAGTGGTTCTAGGTATTGGACCACGACAGAACTGATTTCCGTCGTAAAATTTAAAAAAAAGCAATACATATCCTCTGGGAGAAGCCGTCACTCAATCAGCAGCTCTTATCTCCCATGTAAATTATAGCTTTGTAACCTTTTTGTCATCTTTTGTGATGTTAATTTTAATGTTATTCTTTTGTTCGTTTAACCTACTTTTTTAACCGTTCACTCATGCAATATTTCATCAATGACACTGGCTGTAGGACAGCCGAAACATGTCTTAATTAAAACTTTGGTTACTATTTATCAAAATCCTATAAAATGTTTGCTTTCCCAGCCACTTGGAGAGCTTTTTACTTGAGCTTTTATTAAATCTGTAAAATAATTGTGTTCAAAAGGACATTCTAAACTCAATCAATAATGGGTTTGCTCGATGGGTTTGGACGATTCAATCATCCTATTTCAAGTCTCGATTAACATTTGCTTTTGAAACTTGTTTCTCAACTTTCGTTACCGAAAGAGAATCTCGCTATTCTGATTGGTTAAAGCTGGAGCGTTTATATTCTTTGCTCAGCACGCACGCGCGTGAATTTTCTACTTTTTTATCAGCTGGGCCCGGTTGTACGAAGGGCAGATTGCGCTATCCGGTGGATAAATCCTTATCCAGTGGATAAATAGCCTGTGTGCTGCCGAACTAACTGTTAAGTCCGTACGAGAGTAAAGTCCGGCTGTAAACAGGCTAGTGGATAAGTCGATGCTTTTATCCAATAGATTTATCCACTGGATAGGATTTATCCCTCGGAAATCGCTATCTTCCCTTCAAACAACCGATACCTTGTATTCATTGAACAGCTTTTGGTTATTGTATTTCACAACATAGTTGATTAACTATGTTCACAATAAAGGGGAAACAAACCATGCGTACTAGGTGTGGGAAGTTAATTTAAAATAATTTCACATTTGATTGGCAAAACGCTCCAGGAAAGTCGAGTGCAGTCAAGATATAGTGATTATCACATGTCAAGAGCTTGATATGTTTTTATTCACTTTTTATTCAATAACAAAAGATGTATCCAGATGTATCTGATTATCATGGGAACTACCTTTTTTAACTATGCACTAACATTGATCATATCAGAATTTATTCAAAATATTAAATATTTCTTTTATTATTATTATTATTATTATTATTACTTTTACTTTTCTTTTTGATTTGACTTCCATAAATTATTATTATTATTATTATTACTTTTACTTTTCTTTTTGATTTGACTTCCATAAATTATTATTATTATTATTATTATTATTATTATAGCAAAAATATATATTATAATAATATTTATAGACTCGACCATAGCTAGTACAAGTCCCACTTCTATACTAACTATGACATGACAAAATCACAATTACATTGTTACTGACGCAAGCAGGAAAAAAATCCATCAAGCTGGCGATAATCGTCGAGAAGAAAAATCTATCATGTGTCAATTTCACTGATAAACTGCCGACACGCAATGAACAGAAACTTATTGCTGAGAAGTACAAGATGTGATTCATTTGAATAAGAGAAGGTTTTTGGTTACCGGGAAACAGGAAAAAAGGCATAAAGTACCAGGTAAACTAAAAAGCTGGGTTTTTTTTTCTGTCTTTGAGCAACCGTTATTACCTGCTACGTACTGCAATGCCGACAACGAGTTCTGTATTGATAAAATAACAGTAGTGCGTTTCTATAGCACGCCTCAAATGAACTCTTTTTTCTATTTTATTTATTAACAATTTTTCTTGTTATGTTAGAGTTTTGAAGAAGAATTGACTATGTCTAGCTAAAAAAAAGACTGACATTGAAAGAGATGTATACGTAGTGAAAGAGGGGAGAGGCAAAAAGAATAAGGGTAGTGCTATCAGCAAATGATCAAAGCAGCTGGTARAAGGAATCCACTTTGTTGAAGTACTCAGAGTTCACTGACTTTGCAGCAGATAAGTATCAAAAAACGAAACTTTTGTAAGTAGACAAAAATTTCACTTTTTGAAAATATAGTTTAATTCATAATATCAATCGAAATAATAATATTTTGTTTTCAAAATATGCGGATACGTATGGACATGGTCTTAGTACAAAGGCGGCGGTGTTGCGAGATAAATTATATGCGCGTTTCTCAAAAGTTTCAGGTGCAAAAGGATAAAGTAGCTCTATTTTTTCGTAACATTATGTCGCCAGAAAGAAAGATACCTCCCCGCTCAATTCAACCTAGAAACTCTGGCGAAAAATTGTCATGAAACATTATTTCAGCAAACAGAAGCATACAAGTTCCATCTAAAAGATTCACCATTAGACGCTGTACATGGTTTGCGTATTGCTCCATCGGAGTATAAGAACCAAACTCAAAAGTAAACGCATAAAAAAACGATAAACAAAAGCACTAAGAAACGAAGAAAGAAAAAGTAGAAGAAGAAGTAGAAGAAAAAGATACCTATTTTAACTGGCCATCGTCTATAATTTATTTCACAGCTTGTCGAGAAAAGATGGATTTTTCCTGTTACTGTAGCTTGATAATTTTTACCGTAACCATGACGACAACAGCTCAAGGTAATTATAAAACAAATTACTGTAAAACAGGTTTGTGTGTGTGTGTTTCGTTGAGTGTTTACTCATTTTGTGGAAGGGGATATAACATTTGTTGGTTACTTGGTTGGTCGGTCGGTCGGTTGGTTGGTTGGTTGGTTGGTTGGTTGGTTGGTTGGTTGGTT